AGACTTACAGTAAACATTAGAAGCCTTTTGCACACAAAAAATCAGGTTTTTTAATGAAGTATTGATTCTTTTTTTATAACTAGTCTGAGTGCAAAGTGATTTTCATGTCAAAATTAAAAATACTTTTCGTCATCTAAAAAATCCCAAATTTCCTTTGTGTAATCCATAAAACCTCCTAAATTCATTTCAAACGTTTTTTTTTCACTAAATCTTTCAACAATGCTTGAAGCCTATCCGAAAAGCCTGAACATGAAGGAAGTTAGCCACTTAGGTGGGAAGGCCTAGGCAGCAGTCGGCTCGTCGTGTGTAGAGAAATGCTAGGGGCTAGCCTTTTCATCACAGCAATCCACCACAGAAGATGATGATGACAAGACAGATTTGTACGGCTTCACATAGGAAGATGTGTGTGAGGCAAAGCAGCTGTCTGAATGGAGCAAAGAAAAGCTACACCAGTGGCACTGTGTTGACGATGAATGCCCAACATATGAGCACTTGACGGATGCCGAGATCGTCTGTAACGTAACTATAGCACCGATGAAGGCAAGTGTACTGGTTCTCGAGCCACAAGAAGAGGATAATGAAGAGCCTCCATCACCACCACCAAAAGTGTCTGAAGCCATTGGACACCTCGAGGCTAGCCTCCATTGGCTGGAGACTCAGGAGGTGGACCACATAAAAATCCTCCAACTCAGAAGCATTCTAGATTTCGCTCGAAGCCAGAGACATGCTACATTCAAGCAAGGAATACTCAATCAGTTTTTTAAGCAATAAACTGCAAATGATGATTGCTAATATTCTTGAATGTTTGTTTTGAATTTCATGCAAAGCTACACGAGGGCTATCTGTGCTAGCCGTCCCTAATTAGCAGTGTAAGACTAGAGGGAAGGCAGCTAGTCATCACAATCCACCGCCAACTCTTGGGCTACTCTGTTACCAACGAATAGTGGGATTGACTGTCACATAATAATGCCCCCATGGCTGAAAGGACAAGCATGTTTGGTGTGACAGGGATTCGAACCTGTGACCCTCAGATTGCGAGTCGAGTGCCTAACCGTCTGGCCATGCCGGGCCTTTTTGAACCTTTTTATTTGTTGTTTTGTTTATTAAAAAGCCTACTAAAAAATAATTTGAGTTTTAATTTCTACTGTAACAACAATGATTAATTTACAAAATTCTTTAATTCAGAGGTAATTTACTTGCCATAAAGGGAAGGTGTAAAGAACTAGTCAAAGAGAGTGAAAATAGAGGTGTTTTAGGATGTTAGGTCAACATTGGGTCAGTTTGAACAGTGATTTTCTTGAACCCCGATTTAGCACGACCCTGCTTGTTTCGCGATTACATTTTATGGACCCCAATGATCGTGTTATAATGGGGCTACACTGTATATATATATATATATATATATATATA